GCCTGCCCCTGTCCACAGGTACCATGAGTGGTCCCACCAGTTCAAAACCAGAATTGCATTCTGCAACTGCAGGTAATTAATTGGTATTGAAGCCTGACCTGGTGTCCTTTGCACAATCATTTTAATATATTTTGTGTCAGGCTACTCTACCACAACTGAGAAAACTTTGGCATACACATATGCAGAATTACACTTAAGATACAAGATTGGCAACAGCTGACTCCCTTCATCTAGTCATCATTTTTCTCTGCTTCACCATGCTAAGCCCACTTCAAGCCAACTACAATATTTCTTATTAATGTCCTAAGAAGTTACAAAGGAAACATTGCATGTTAGAGGTGGATAAGGGCCCACAAAAAACCACTGCTGTCTGAGGGCGGAGGAAGTCCCACAGGGCCTCTGCTTCTGGGAGTGAGCATGTCTTTCACCTTGCTGCCCCAGCCTTTACCTGCTTTCATGTCAGTACTGTCTCCCTGAGACATAAACATTGACTGCTGCGCCTCACCACAGCAGGCATTGCAGCAGTAAGCAAAACTACAAAGGCAGAAATCTTGATCTTGCAGCATCCCTTAAACAGCAGTAGAGGAAGTCTGATGTTTATAGAGCAAAAAGCTAAACTGAGGGCTCAACTTCCCCAAACGCTGTCCCCTCTCACCAAGATAACTGGCCAGTGGTGGTCAGCAAGGGTTCATGTCTACTGGAGACCAGCTGCACACGCTTGTACAACTGCTACAAATTGGAAAAGACCTGTTTTCCAAACCATGTGGGCTCAGTTTGTCATAATTTTATTGGATATCATCTCTGACACAGCCCTTTGAATATGCACTTACTGAAAATGAGGTGTTTTCTCGTTCTGCTGAGGAATACAGAGATGAGAACAACAAAGAGAAGCCATGACATGGTACATCATGGTAATGTTTTATGCCACAAGGGAGAAAAGTAATCTTCCACATTTGTTCTCCAATTCTAAAGAGAAATTGGGGTTTATCTGGCATTTAAATACTCACCGATCTTTAGAAAAAAATCCCATATAGTAGGTTATCATGATTAAAGCAAAGAGAAAACTTAAAAATACATACATACACAAAGACAAGAAACATGTCAACACCACTTTACCACTTTTGTATTTTATTGTGGAACTGAGTTTGTTTCCTTTACATCAAATATCCTCAATGGAAGAGGGGATATTGCACACAAATATCATAAAAGCACTACATATTACTTTCACTGGAAACTAATTTTCTACGTTAGATATGACTGGATAGAATAGAAGTGATGCAGGATTATAAGACATAATACCATACACAGCTGCAGACTGACACAAACACCATTCAGAACAAGAGAGGAGGTGTGTGAGGTGCTTCTCAGCCAGCGACGAGACTTTCTTTCCATAGTTTGGAAGAGAATGGCTGCATGCAAATGCGTGAAAGCATATTTCAGATTTCCTCTTTAACAGTTGTGATTACAGCCCAGTCTTGAAGAGGTAGCTCCTGCCATCTGGAGCTCCTAGCTAGTCTAGTAGAGAGAAGCTGCTCTTAACTTTTTTTTTCTTTCTATATTTTAAGCCACTGTTTTAGTTAATTCTTTTAGGGTTTTCTTTTAGTAAAGTCACAACAAACAGACTTTAATCCTTTTTTTTAATTTTAAGTAGCAAATATTTTTAAACCAGATGAGTAATATAATTGCATTCTAAGAAATGCTTTCCCCTAGTTACTTTTAGTGTTTTGTTCAATTATTAAGTGAAAAGATGAAAGCTTACAGTTTCTTTCAAGTGTAAACATTGTATATTTCATCTTCTACTAAATCCAGACCAACATAATTCCTATTTTTTCTCAAAAACATCATTACTGAGCAAGAACCTCTGGCGACAGATGAACAAAGAGAAGCATATGACAGAAATGTCCCAAATGCACAGTAAGGGCTCTTTGGAGCTCATTTGCTTGGTGGGAGGGATTGAAAATTCAATTAACAAATTGATTAAATCTTAGTAAAAGAGTACCAGAACTCTCCTAAAATGCATAAGCTATCATAGACAATTAAAAAAACCCCAACATTCATATACACAATTATCTCCATTCACCACATTATGTAAAGTAAGTAAAAAAAAAAGATCAAAAGTGATTTCTATGAAAGATGGGGTGAAAATAGAGGTCAATGAAGTCAGGCCCACCACAGGACTTTGAAAAGGCATGCAAGAGAAGCCCTGTCCAAGTTCAAGAGTGGGATGAGATCCCCAAAGTTAATTCTTCATTGAATTATATGAAGCACTATATTAATAGCATAAAGATCATGATCAGGAATGCTGTTATGGGTAATACCATCATTGAAATGGAGTGTCTTTTACACTCAGATATTGAATCTTTATAATTAGAGTTATCAATATCAAACCATGCTCCTAGAAATCTATGCTGATCAACAGCACTCATCGTTAATGTACACAGTACATTTTGATGACTGTTACACTATATTAGTTGTGTAGTACTAGGACTAGCACAGGTAGATTAGTTCCACAGGCAGGAAAGACATTAAGGGCAAGAGGAGCTAATGGAGGAGCTCATCCCTGTGTTGCACCTAGGTGCCATTGCCATTTGGAAGGGAATGAATGGAACAGGCATTACAATGCCTCAGAATAGCCAGATGGGGGGGTTATGTTCTTGTAGCAGCAAAAAAAAACCCAAAAAAAGCAAATGTACATGTTAAGGTCAGCTGTAACCTCTAATTATCATTATTATTTCAGAAGTAAAAGAGATGCTTCAGCCATCTTGCTTGGGAATATTTAAGGCTTGATTTCAATTTCATATCCAGTAGGACCAAATGACTGTAAATTCCCTGACAGTAGTGAAACTGCTCTTGATTGACAGGAGTAAGTGGCTTAAGTGAAATTAGTCACAAGACTACTGCTATACTTAAAACAGAATTCCTGCCAAAGCAGAGATACAAATCATTTCAAGTATTGTCAGAAAATCTGTTCCTACCCACTCAAAAAATTTGAATTCTGACCTATATAAGAAAGTAGACAAAGCAGAAAGAATTGCAGAGTAGTACAATTGTTCTGCCAAACATTTTCCCCATATTTTTGTTGACTATGTATTACAAAAGCAGTTTTAAGTGAATGGTATAAGCCCAGCAAACATGCTTGTTTTCACAATACATCTCCATCTGCCTTTTGTGCCGTACTCATTCTGAGTTATTCTTAACTACTTACAAGGTATAACAATAAATAAAACAGCGTTGCTAGAGAGACCTAAGAAAAAGACAACATTAGAAACAAATCAAAACCCCCAACAACTGACAAACAGTAATTCACAGCATTAAATGGGCCTTGGGAGCCCACATTTTAAAAGATCCTAAAGCAGTATTAAAAAACCCTCAGAAAAATTAGGAGTGCAAACATACACCTATTAAACAAAAATATCCTAACAATGTAAAATTGAAATAAATTATAAGTAAAGAAAATAAAATGAGGTCATAGTTCACTACATTGTGAAACTTAATACCGGCCGTAATGGTGCATCATACAGACCAGTAGGTATCTCCATTCTTGAGGCCTTTACACCTTCTTTAAATTCAGATTTGCAGACCTTCTGCAATGCAACAAGATTTTTTTTTAATTGGGGTAAAGTCCAAACTGTCTTAATCACAGAGTAGTGGTGCTGTTCCCCTGGAAGTAGTCTAGAGAAGGAAAGGAGGGAGAGACAAAGGAGGAAAAGGAAAAGAACAGTAAAGGAGGAGGCAAGGAAAGGAAGGACAAAGGAAGAGGAAAAAAGGAGGAAAGCAAAGGAAAGAAGGAAAAGAAAGGGAAAGGGAAGGGGAAGGGGAGGGGAAGATGAAGGGAATGGGAAAGTGAAAGTGAAAGGGGAAGGAAGGGGAGGGAAGGGGAGGGAAGGGGCTTATTTGAGCTTATTGCTTATTCTATCTTTTCTTCGCGATCTTGTGAGGGTTGAGACTGTAGGTTACACCCTTCTAAGTACTGGGAGATCAGCTTCTCAAATCCTATTTTCTGTTATCATCAATAGGTTTGTTTTACAATCAGGGTGCCCTTCCACTCCCCTCTCCCCGAAAAAGTACTGGCAGTTGACTGTTTCCCATAAATCTTACCTCAATATCCATTCTTACTAGAATCTTAAACATTATTATTCATTTGTCTTACAACACTACTAAAAAAAATTTGCCTTCACCTGAAAAATCTTTCTTTGCATTTACCTGTAAATGAAAAATCATGTATTAAAAGTTCACAGAGCACAAAAAAAAGGTTTCGGTACATTTATTCCAATATTCACTCAAGTTAAACAAACAAAATCAGGTAAAACAAAGGAAGGTTGAATACTGTACAGCTCGCAGGTAACCTTTTTCATCATTCTGAATGTTTCACTAAGTTTTGTAACTCTGATACTGGACACCACTTCAATCTTGCTTCCAAGTTACAAAAGAAGCTTTCAAATAAATGCAAAAACCTTGCCTTGTTGAGCTGTCCAGGTGCATCAATGAAGTGTTCACATAACTAACATATGTAATTCATAGCACCAAACCGCTTGACCAGTCAGATATGTTCCTAGTACCACACATGCACACTCACACTTCTTTACTGGTGTAACTATGATCCTACACAGATGTTTTATAAATTCGCTGTCTCAACATTAAAAAATAAGTGCATCAAGTTTCTTTGTACATTCAAGTCACTTTCTAAGGCAAATTGTCTACTGTATGTACTCCCGACTGCTTTGGTATTTTGCTTCGGTTAATTGACAGTGGACATGGGTGTTCAAGCATGTGGACTGGTCAGTTCTGGCTGGAGTGAGTGGGCTTTCACTGGAAGCATGCCTTATACCAATAATTCTGCATGTTGAAAGAAAGGCTTCTGGATGGAGTGCAGATTACATGCATATTTGGCGTATGATTGTTATGGTATGTCAGTATGCAGAGCTCAAATTAAAGTGGAAAACTGCTGATGAGTGATTAGATTGTACATCCCCTCCTAACTGCATTCTGTCTCTCTTTAATTGAGCTAACTTAATTCTTTAAAAAAAGGATCCCCATTGTGATAGCTCATATTGACACACATTTAAAACTTCCTTCTCATGTGAGAGCATAAGCAGACTGCAGTAAGTGATACATCTATTGCCACGAGACTAATGCGTACCTAATTATTTATTACTTTCTCCTCCTACCCCTCTCTTTCTCCCTTTATGTTTCTTGAGAGGGCAAATGCCTCTACCTGGCAGAAGTCAATTGGGTTGCTAGTGCATGGTTTCCAAATGTTCCACGGAGACACAACTGGATCTGTATTTTCGTAGTAATTTGTACTTTACTATGGGAAGACTGTTACTTCCCTTAGCAATCAACAAAGACTGAAAAAATTAGTGACTTGCATCACTGTGACACAGTATAGCATTTGGCAGGTATATAGTCAGCAGTTGGAATAGATGAGTTGAATTTTTAGAAAAGGTGTTTTCAAACTGAAGAATTTCTGGAAACGAAGTTTCATCTTGTGATGCAAGGTCGTCTTCTTACAGCTCAATCTTGCATGCGGGAAATGATTCATCTTGCATAACAACAGTGCTGCTGCTTGCCAAAACCATGATGTTGAGGTCCTGCTGTTTCTCATGGGTCTCTTGGTACCATTCTCTCATCACTTCTGAGTCATGAGTTGGGATTAAGGTCACCTGCAACACAAAACAGAAGTTCTGATGAATGGACAACGGAAATAGTTGTTAAGAAAAATGTCTTGCAAGAACCCCCAGCCAACAAGTATGGGTCTTTATGCAATAAAGAGTGAGTCTTTATGCAATAAATACTTGAATAAATGGATGGATAAAAGGAAATAAATCAACACGTAGGTAAGGCAAGTTGGGATTAAGGTCACCTGCAACACAAAACAGAAGTTCTGATGAATGGACAACGGAAATAGTTGTTAAGAAAAATGTCTTGCAAGAACCCCCAGCCAACAAGTATGGGTCTTTATGCAATAAAGAGTGAGTCTTTATGCAATAAATACTTGAATAAATGGATGGATAAAAGGAAATAAATCAACACGTAGGTAAGGCAAAATGACTGTAAAGAAGTAGTTTATCAAAATAAAACTTTGGTTTTGTAAGGTGCTGAGATACAGCTTTCCAGAGTAGCATCAGGCTGTAATCTGCACTGACAGCCCTTAAGGTTATGGCCAAATATTTTGTTTACTTATTCATCATGATGAAAAAGCCCATGAAATTTCCAAATATATGTAATTACCATATAAAGAGTGAAATATTCACTTTTCTTCCCTACTTAAAAAATGCAGTGTTTCCAGATTTGGATCATATATGGTGTAGTAAAAAGATGAAACAGCCAACTGGCCCTGTAAGCCACTTCTCAACTGTTTTATTCACCAGGAGCAGGTCTAAAGGGCCACATACGTGGGAGCAGCTGAGTGCTGTGCAGCTCTGTCTTTCACTCATGTGTCATCTCTTACCATCAGTGAAACAAGGTGCCCCGCCTGTGGACCCCATTCCTGACAGCTGCCATCCACTCTAGAGGTCCTCTAGCTTCTTGTCGTTATTTCCCAGAAAAGGCTAATTTCCAGGTAGTGATACTAGTAAAAAGCCTTACCTGCATGTTAGTTTCCCATTGCGCCTTGCCCTCCAGCAGGGAGTCCAGAACAGCCCTGCTTGGCTCCTCTGCTGCAGAATCATTCCCACTCACTACGTAGTAGGACGACCGCACCCTCTTGAAAAACTCAACATCAACATTCTTGCTATTGCTGTGGTTGGGAATGTATACCAGATCCAAATACACTGGAGGTCCTGGAGGCACTCCTGTAGATTTTGCCACCTTAGTATTCCCAGGTCCTTTGGAAACCAAATAACAAAAGAATCTATCACAGGCTGGTTAAATACATGCATTTATTAATTATTGCTATAACCACTGAGGTGAGACATGTCCAATTATGGTATTATCCTCCTACATTTAATGACATGTTCCAGCTTTATTGTAGTCCAGTTATGATTGTAACGGGAGAAAAAACCTGAATAACTGGAACTACATAGTACAATAAAAAATCACTACCATATAACAAAAACTTGGCTGAACCTTTCCCAGTAATATACTATTATCCAACAATTACTATGCAGGGCTGTGATTACCGAATTACCACTCAATAAATGGTGGTATTGTTTTCCAGGTTAAGGAGTGCAGCTTTTTCAAAGTCTTAGCTATACACAATTATAAAACCTAGGATCACATGGGGAGCTGTTCAGATTTGAAGCAGTCCTGAAATTTGAGGTACACTGCAAGACACGGTAGCTATTGATATGCTCAGGCTGCCTTACAGGCACTTTGGGAAGCTGCTACACGTGACAAGGGAGTCGAAGAGGAACTTAGGAGGACAGAGAAAATTTTAAAACAATTACTGCAGTAAATTGTGTCAAGTGCTTTTTTGTCTGTTGTTTCCACAAAAAGCGGGAGAAAGCATCTCTTTGCTGCTGTACATAGTACATGTATTTGTTCTAAGATCTTCAGTCAAAAGGAAGTACAATGTTTAAATACTCACATTAAAAATACTATGCAAAAAAAAAAGTATTATGTTACAAACTGGATCATAGTGTGAACTAATAATCGGGATTCAACCAGTAATTTTATCCAGAAGATCACCATTTATGGTCTATTAGCCTTCTCATGTTGATGAAGCTTGGTAAAGTTATCTGAGCAATACACTCAATTTAGGGTCACACACTTTTGGGTTACATACTGTAAGGTCAGCAAAGTCCATTACTGTTGTCTAGCATGTCATAGAATCATAGAATCAACCTGGTTGGAAGAGACCTCAAAGATCATCGAGTCGAACCCTACCGTGGTTACTAGACCATGGCACTAAGTGCCACATCCAATCTCGTCTTGAAAACCTCCAGGGATGGTGAATCCACCACCTCCCCAGGCAGCCCATTCCAATGCCTGACTACTCTCTCCATAGAAAATCTCTTCCTAGTATCCAACCTCAACCTCCCCTGGCAGAGCTTGAGTCTGTGCCCTCTTGTCCTACTGCTGGTTGCCTGGGAGAAGAGACCAACCCCCACCTGACTACAACCTCCTTTCAGGTAATTGTAGAGGGTGATAAGGTCTCCCCTGAGCCTCCTCTTCTCCAGGCTAAACACCCCCGGCTCCCTCAGCCTCTCCTCATAGCACTTGTTCTTGAGTCCCTTCACCAGCCTCGTTGCTCTTCTCTGGACCTGCTCCAGCACCTCAATATCCTTCCTGAACTGAGGGGCCCAGAACTGCACACAGTCCTCAAGGTGTGGCCTCACTAGCACCGAGTCCAGGGGCAGAATCACCTCCTTGGTCCTGCTGACCACACTGTTCCTGATATAGGCCCTGCTATTCCTCATAAGACAAAATGCCAAATTATATGATAAGATTTCCTGAATTAGAGATTTTTTACTATTGGTTATGTTACAAAATATTTTATTATCTTTGATAATAAAAAATCTGTGATATATCTTTCTGACTTGTGGATATCAACACTGGGTAAGATATTGGATGTTACATTATACGTTTCAATGTCATTACCATAGAATCATCGAGGTTGAAAGATCTTTAAGATCATCAAGTCCACCTGTTAACCTGGCACTTCAGTGTAACCCCTAAACCTTAAACTGTATCTTCCACCACCTCTTAAACACATCCAGAGATGGTGACTCCACCACCTCCCCAGGCAATCTATTTCAGTGCCTGACCACACTAACAGTCTAATACCTACTCTGAATCTCTAATCTCTACCAATAGAGCCTTGTCTTACTCCTGTACATATCTGAGAATATTGCCTTAAGGAAAAAAATATAAAATCTCATTTAGAGCTGAAGTGCTGCAGAAATGGACAGCATGAGAAACTATATTGTTGTTTTGAAACGTATCTGTTAACAGATACATGTGGTGCAGGAAAGGAACAGTAGACTACTAAAAATGGGGAAGCTAAAGGCAGTAGAATGCTGTTATGTTTGTACTGAATCCTAGACCTGCTCCTTGTAAAGAAGCTTTCAACAGAACATCAGTCCTCACAGCAGTAAAATCAATGTATCCCCCAAATACTCCCTAACAAGGTCTGCTGGAAACAACAGATTTGTACAATGCCTCCTTCAGTAATCTAATTCATATTTTATTGCTGCTTAGAATACACAACAGTCATTTAAAATGACATTAAATTTCTGTATGTTTAGTCAAAACGCTGACGGCATAAGACTTTAACAGGATTATGTGATGTACATGCTGAGTTCACTGAGAGTGTTTTTACTACTGTTGTAATTTTTTTAAATTCTCCTTTTAAAATCAAGTCAGCAAAGTAATAAGAGTATCAAAAGGCTGATAGTGATTTTGTCTCTCACAATATTAAATTGCAATAATTTATGTTAAGAGAATTGTGCCTACTTATTTCTCACAATGAATTGCTGCTAACAATCACAATTCATCACAATCACACAATCAAAATTAATACTGATTTCACTTCACCTACAGAAGTGGTACTTTAATTCTATTAGGTGATTAACAGTTTAAACAGCTAGTATTAAATTCCTTTTATTTTATGTACTCTTTGGGCAAACTCACATCAATTTTCTCAGATTGCAGAAGTAAAACTAGTGAATTTCATGCATTTAAATATGGCCTTTACACTTTGGATTTATACTTAAAACCTTGACTTTCTTTGGAGAATTGCTACAAACCACATTCTCAGCTGATATAAAGGTGAACTAACTACACTGCAACTAAGAAAATTCAAACACTAGGGCACTGCTATCTGTCTTTACCTGTGGCTGCAGTCTTTGCCGACTTGGATGTTGTTGTATTTGCAGCATTCTTGGTGTCCTTATCTTTCTCTTCCACTCGAGACTTCACCTCTGGATTAGCAATATTTTTGGCTGCCTTCTCCACAGGTTCCTTCTTCTTTGGAGAAGCTGTTCTGGAAATTTTGTCTAAGGATTCTTTTATAGCTGGCTTTGGTGCAGCCACTTGTTTCGATTTACCATCACTTTTTTTAACAGGAGAAGATGATTTGGTCTTTGTACCCTGTTTTTTTGTCTTTGTCTTTTCTTTGAGGTCCTTCTTCAAAGGTTTACCTAAATTCTGATCAACTGGAAGAGCCTCTGGATCAACCATGGTAACATCAGGGTGCCTAGGGGAAGGACTGCGATCCTGAATCGGGACAGGTGGTGGGTCAATGTGTTTGTATGTAATTGTCTTGTCTGTCGGAATGGTTTCTGACTCATCTTCTGAGTCAATATTAGCATCTGCAGTGATGGAAGGACATTCCTCGGTCTCCGGTGGAACATCTGAATCAGTCTGAGATGGGGCAGACTCACTCACAGATGTGGGAGGAGTATCATCACACTGTCGCCCTTGCTGCTTTCCCCCGGAAGGTGGCTGAGCTCCCCCAGACTGAGTTAGTGGCTTCTCTTGATCTTGAGACTGTTCTTCAGTTGCAAACCATTCAAGAGGGTTTGGGTTGATAAATGAGGGTGAAAGCTCAGTTTTGGGATGTTTATATTCACAAGAGGACACAAGGCATAAGTCAACATCTTGACGGGATTCTGCTAACGATTTACTTGGAGTGAAATGTGCGCTTGTTTCATAGGAATAGCTAGTAGCTTCAGGTGACCTGGCGGCTCTCCCAGTTGTCTCAAACAAGTAATCTGTGGCTTCAGGTGAACTGGAGACCTTCCCAGTTGTCTCATAGGAGTAATCCATGGCCTCTGATGACCTGGGGGTTCTCCCCATTGTCTCATAGCAGTAGCCAATGGCTTCTGGTGACTTAGAGGTTTTCCCTGTTGTCTCATAGGAGTAATTCATAGTATCGGGTGATCTGGTAGCTTTCCCAGTAATCTCATAGGAATAATCTGTGGCCTCAGGTGATTTGGTAGTTTTCGCAACTGTCTCATAGGAATAATCTGTGGACCCTGGTGACGTGGTCATTTTCCCTGTTATTTGATAAGATGTGACCTCAGATGACCTTGTATTTTTTGCAATTATCTCATAGGAATAATCTGCTGCCCCAGGTGACCTAGTAAGGTTCCTGGTTATCTCATAGGAATAATCAGTGCCCTCAGGTGACCTAGCAGTTTTTCTGGTTATCTCACAGGAATAATCCATGGCTTGAGGTGATCTAGTAGATTTTCCAGCTGCCTCATAGGAGTAGCTAATACTCTCTGGTGACCTAGTAGTTTTCATTCTGGCTTCATATGAATAAGTAAATTCTTCTGGTGACTTGCTGCTTTTCTCTGAGTCTTCCTTTTCTGGGCTGAACAAAGGTTCTGGACTGTGCTTTGTTAGAGGCTCCTCATAACCAAAGGCTTTGGCAGAAGACACTTGCTGTGACAACAAAGGTGTGTGACTAGCTGACACGGCTTCTGTGATTGCAGGAGGTGAATCTGGAAAAGTAGGAGAATATAGAGGAGAAGATTCCCTTGGAGTTAATGGAGATAGGTCAGACTTTGGTGACAGCTTTTCTCCTAAGCTCTGCACCTTTTCTGAAGTAAAAGAATGCAATGGCATATCTCTGGATGGAACAGCACCTGAAAAAGTTTCCTCTGGCAGTGGTGAAGCTACCTGGGAAGGTGTATGAGCCGATGAAGTTGAAGATGAAGCTTCAATTTGAGAAACTGAAATAATTTCTGAAATATCTTTCTCTTGAGAGTAAAATGACTGCCCCACAGGTGATAGCTTCTGCACAAAAGGAGGCTCCTGCATATCTGAAGGGCTATAATCTACTTCT